TTGAACCACTCCGCCAATGAAGTTGTTGGCAACCGTCCACCCCCAGCGATCATCCCCACCGCCTTTAAAAGGCGAGAAATTCGAAAAGCCTACAAACCTGCATCCATTCTCTAGCATCCTCGCAGGATGAATCGAAGTCTGCAACTCGCTCAGTTGTCTCGAGTTTAGCAGCTCGTTGGGCACGTAAACGTTCCAAATCCGCCCATAAAGCGTTGACCTGACGCAATTCGTTTAGATACATGACGTTCCACCCTAACATCACAAAATCCTTACCTTTCTTTGACGTGCCTCAATCTGCCTTGACTGACTGTGGCCTTCACCAATCAGTTCATCTGCCATTACATTGATGTGTTTCAATTGTGTGCCACCAATTGCCTTCATGTCTGCTTCGAGGCGATCGAATTTCTTACGGAATGCCTTAACATGCTCCACTGACGGCTGATCCGCAAGCGCAGCTTCGGTCTCGCGGGCCCAACCCTCGAACTCGTCGCATTCACGATAGAACCTTAAATGTGTCGGTTGGTGAGTTTTACTTATTCACAATTAAGCTAGCTATTCCCACACTGAAAGACAATTATCAGCTTTCACTTCAAGGCAAGGGGCACGGTGGGTGGGGGGGGGGGCGGTTACTGCCAGCGTCATTGGTGGAAGGCTGCGAGAAGGCGTCTGGCCACACCCCACTCAGCCCTTCCACCAATGACGTTGGCGACAACCGCCCGCCCCTAGCCATCGTGCACACCGCCTTCAAATCCTCAAAGGCACGTTTTGCCATGAACGATGGGCGGAGGCTCATGACTATTGTGTCTTTTCCCTGGTGGCTCCTCCTCTTCACCATAGTGGAGTGGGAGCACCAATGAGCGAAACACAATACGTGTGAGTCTCCGCCCATCCGACTGCTGCGAAATGCTTCGCCTTTGTAAAGTCGCAACGCACTGGGGAACCAAACACCTACCTCATCAACTTGATATTATCGGAAAGGAGACGTCGTCGGACCTCTGCCAAGCTATTCAGTTGTCGGTAATCCGAGGAGATCATCTTCTGTCGGTCAACAATAGCACGCTTGCCGTCCACAACATCGGCATGTGCTTTCGTTGTTGTAGTTGTTTGCGTGACAGTCACCTATAAAGCATTGCATGACTTTATAAGCGGTAAGTAATGTCGCAGTAGAAATAAAAAAAAAGCCCTTCTCGACTGCCAGATGGGCGGAGA